CAAACATTTCCGTCCATTTAAGAAGGTTTTTCAGATTCTCTGTGTGTTTTGCTATTAAAACAATATTTCTATGGAAAAAATGACAACAAACTGCTATTTAAAAATATAATCCCGAAGAAAAGACAAAAAAAGATAAAATCGTGACAACTGAATTGAATGAAGGAGTATGGTAATGAAATAGGTTAGAAATACCTTTTGAAAATTGTTCGAATTTCCATAATCTAATAAACTGAATCAAAATCCTATCATTGTTTCAGTTATTAAAAACTTGATACTTTTTAAAAGTTTTTTTTCTTCTAGAAAACAATATTCACATTTTTTTTTTTTACTTTATTGGTGCAACATACCAGAATACAACGGATTACAGAGAAACTTTCTCAAATCTGAACATGATTGATTTAAATTTTTTCGGAAGAATTTCAAAGTCTAAAAAAATTTCAATACCATAATTTTCATAAACAAACATATATGCACATAGGTCCTTAACATTATATGACAAATCACAATAAGGTTTATGTGACAATTATAACACTTCTCTTGAAATAAAAATAAAATAGATTAGTAAGTGCATTATTGTGGTCATACCTTCGAAATTTTATACGAAATTCCTTTCAAAAACACACTGTAGTTGTAGTATAGTTTATGATAGTAAGCTATTGGTTACAATTATAGTAAATCAAAATTTTCAAATATGTTTTAAAGACTATATCAAGTTCTTATTATTATTTTATCTTATTTCTTAAAATTTTTCAAGTTTTTTTTTTAATATAATAAGAAATACAATTGCTTGTTTATTTAATTAAATATGATTTCCAATATACCATCCACGATACAGGATTTTTTTTTTTAGATATATTTGCTTGTAAGGTCCAAAAAAAAAAGTTGATAGTAAATGTATTGAAGAATGTACTTTTGAAAAGTTACAGCTATATATCCACCTCCGCATTCAAATATATTGAGCAAAGTGGCATAATGATCTGTTTATGAGGGAAAAAAAACTTAAAATCAAAATTTTAAAATATAAACATATATATAATCTTTTTTGTAATCAAAAGTTTATTGAGATTGTACTGCTTATAATTTAAATATAATGTATGTATAAGACAAATGTATAATTATATAATCATTATTTAATTAATTGTTATAACATGTATATGGTTAGTGTTGAGTCATTCCCATCAAAAAAGAAAAAAAAAAACTACTGTTCTCGAGCTAGCAAAAATGGCATTTTCACGATCAAGTAAAGTAAACACAAGCATCAATACACATAAATATCAAATCGTATCGTATCGATGAAAATGTCTGTGTTAGGCAGTTTATAACCAAGAATATGGGTTCGATTTTGAATTGAGAGTTTATATCCATTTATAAAGCATTTAATTATAAAATTAAATTAAACATCAGATACTGAGATTGTGGTTTAAAAAAATATTATAACGGTTGAATAATTAAATTAAATGTATTAAAATGTACATTGAGGATGAATAATAAATGTATTAAAATGTACATTTAGGAATCGAGGAAAGAATGATTCTGTAAAGGACCTCCTTTGAAGCTGTTATTGTTATAGCTTTGAAATTCCGAACTTTTCTCAATATTCAGTTTATTAGCACTACAACTGTGACCTTCTTCGGTGTGTCATCGGTTTGTTAGTCTATTATTTGTAGAAATATCTTTTTCACAAGTACATTTATCTATCATTTTAAAAATTATATGAAAAAGTCTTTTTAGAATTGAATTTTTATGTGTATAAAAGTCAGAAGAATATTAAATGCCATAACTAGCAATATTATACGCCTGAAGCAATATAATTGAGGGGTACCAATCGTGTTATTTTTACAAGCAGATGGCTATATTTATTTTGATTGGCTGAGAATGTTCCCTGCAATATTATAAAAATATATTATTACAATATAATTTTGTAATTGCTTCTTACTAAAAGTAAATTTAACCTTGGCATTGATAATTGTGTTTATTCTTTTTCTGACCTATCATTAGTTATAATGTCATGCGTATGTGTTCAGTTTCACATTCCTACCGCTATAATGGGTTTATGAGACAATAAACTTCAAACTAATCATTTTATAGAGACTTTTCTAAAAGTACAAAAATGACTGTGAAGAAACAAAGTATACCAATTAATAAAAGTATTAGAGTATATTCTATGGAAAAGTATAGTTTACTACGTGAAATCAGTTAACTATAGTAAATTGTGCTTGGGATATTTCGTTAAAATTTTTTTGACATGAAGCAAATATGTATGAGTGTATTATTACCTACATACAATAATCCTTTGAAAGATTATGTTAATGTAGAATTCATATTAAAAAATGAGTATGTTCACACTTGATACATACTTGTATAAAAAGAACAGAGATCTCGCTGAAAAGAGTATTGTCCTCATTCAGCCTTTGAGCATTCAAACATTGCAAAACAAAAAAAAAATGATTTGATGTAATATGTACGATTGAATTTAAGTAAATAGATTTAAAAAAGACCAGATCTCTTTATAAACAGTCGCACATTTGAAAATAAACTTTCATTTTCAGATATGCTGATCGAATCATACCCCCATAATTCAGTAATGTTATTGCATTTTACTAAAGAGTTGAACTTTAATTCATGTACATGTAACTTAAAGGTTCACTGAGTGAATTAGAAAATTTGTTCAAAAACATTTATACCGCATAATAAAAACTAGACGAAAATCATTCTTGTAAATACTGATTGCGGAAATATTATACATACTGAAATCAGTTTGCAAAAGCATTACGATAAATCATAATAAAATTACATGTCAGTCTGTAAATTTTAGAATTCATAGGGAAGAAACTTCCTAGTCAAAAGGCAAAGCACATGAATTTCATTACAAAAAAATATTTCATGAGAACAGTATTTAAAATCCCTTAATTAGTATAAACTGTGTAACTTTTTAAGTCTGAATTATATCAAATCAATTATCAGTATTTGAGAAACAGGTACGTGGGTCCTAAAAGCCCCTAAGATCACGGAAGCTATAAGAACTTTACATGTTTTGTTTTATTTTTTTAAAAGCTGGAAATGGAAAATGGATGAAGGTGTCACAGTATTATGCTGTCAAAGTTTGTTATGCCATATACAAGTACATGATTGTTTAATAAAAAAAATCTTTTTTTTTAAATAGTAAATCTACAATGAATTTAATTTTTCTCAAAACAATTAATTTGTATCGTTGATTTTCTTTCACCTATTTGTAAAAGCTTGTAATTTGATGCGAATGAATCGTCCCGCATTTCTTCCACTTATGGGAATAAGAAGTTTTCAACCTCACTGATTTGGAAAAAAAAATCATTCTCTCCTATTAAAATCAACTTTCTACCAATGTGAGCAATATATAATTCAAATCTGAATTTTGCTACCTACCACATAGGCTGCCTCTACCTAAAAAAGTTTGAACTGATAAAAGTTCTATCGTTATGTCAGGTTTCCTGATGCATCCATGTAATATATTTCTTTCCTTGAAACAATAGTCTCATATTTGTTTCTATGGATTTAATTTTAATAAAAAAAAAAATGAAATTCGTTGAAAAATAACTTTCTCAATAAAATCATCAAGATTTCGACGAATGTATGTCGAAATATTAGGAAAGTCTGGAACGTACAAATCTAACCACTGCACCACTCGTGCGATTTGACCTATAGTCATATTTACTTCTAAAACAAGGGCGTAAAACTCCAGAACCAAGGCCTCTTAAACACCGATATTTGCGGAAACAAATATCTAAAAAAAAATATTCTTAAGAAATGTACTTTAGTCCGTTAAACTTCTTTTGCTTACTGAAATTTCCTGGTAATAAATGAATATATAAGGAAATTAAAATTTCATAAAAGCATTCTTCAAAAATAGAACTGGCATGATTGAAAAAGAAAAGATTCAACGATCGAATAAAAATTCTAAAAAGGAATTGTAATATGATACGTATGTTTAGAAAATTTATATTGACTTGATATAATTTGTGAACTAATTGGGTAACAAAATATTTCCCGGTGTTAGAACTAAAGCAGAGGTCTGAGGTTGAGGATAGCATTTTTTGCATATAACGACATGTTGGACGCATCAATAGCAGGGCAAGGGCTTGACATCAAATAAGGAATGCTGTATCGATAAAGTTAGAGAAGTTAAGTGAGTAAAATATATTTGTTTCATGTAAGAAGAAATATACTATAAGAATAATATTTCTTCCTACATAGCAAAAAGTTTTAAAACCAGATTATTTTTGTCTTGTGTAATTTAAAAAAAAATCTGGTGAATCTACATTTGGTCTTCATTTGATCGATTAATATTCTTGGTAAGTCATACACATGCACATGTGTATCTTCTGAATAATAACTCATAAATGATAATTTGTGTGCTTTTTTCATAGCAAATACGATTTTATTTGTCATCATTTCATTTCAATTTATTTTGTATGCAGAACCACTTCTTCACTGTCTAAGATAACTTTTTCAAAATTAATGTTTATACCTTTGTTCCACTTTTTTTATGTTCTTGTGCTCAAAAACAAAAATATTGCTAGAATGACTATTATTGAAAAAAAGCTTGAATATATTATTGGCACAGTACTGAAGCAATTTTACCGATATTTTTACCCGTAGACGGTTTTTTAATCCTCAATCATTTTCCCGGATTTAAAAAAAATTGAAAACTGAAATAATGCATCTTTGGCACAGAGATTAACTGAACTGAAGTATATAACTTGATAAAATAAAATAAATAAATAAGTTCTATATATATCAAAAAAGTCCGCATTTTTTGAAAATATTTTTTCTTTATATATTAACTAATTTTTTTTTCTAGGGGAAAAAGGGAGTAGGGGTGTGTGTGTCAAAAATGCAGTCAATATACATGTATACCTTTGGACCTTCTTGGATAAAAATAAAATTTGATGTGCTGTGTTTAACTGACATTTTTAGACATTTCATTTTTTTCTTTACAGCTTGGTTATCATTCCTGATATAAAATGGCAGAGGGGCTACCGTAAGAATATTAAATTAAACAATAAATTATCATTGGACATGTTAAACATGTAATGTCCTCAAACAGTTGTCGCTGTATCAAAGCGAAAATGTCTGTCCAAATGAGTATGTTATATATTACGCGTCTGGAACATCGTAAACAATTTCAAGAGAGAAAAAATGTAAATGTTTACTTGTATATTTTAAAACTTTGAATAAATCTTGTTTGTTAAATAGTGCCATATAGTCTTGTACGAGGAAACTATACTGGTAACAAGTCAAGAATTCCCATATTATACAATTCAAATAACAAGTCTTTATGACGTCATAATTGTCATTATCTGATTGACCCATTTTCCTTCAGAAGACAACACTCCCCGAAATGGGATATATTTCGAATGGATCACTGGCCACAGAAAAGAGAAGATCTCAAAAGAGTCAACCAGATTCTTCCTAAAATTTTAAAAGTCTTGACCTACATCTTCATGGTGCTTATTATCACCACCGGAGTGGTCTTTGCCAAAGGTGGTCTACAAGTTTTGACTAGTATCCTAGGACAGCACAACAAATTCCCTAATGTAGGTCATCTTCATTTAAATGTTAAGAAGTGAAAAGGAATTTAGAGAAAGTGGCAATCTTATCAATAAAGATTATCGATTTGATTTTTCTAATATAATTGCATTGATAAAAATAACAATCTTGTATATCTTAATCTTAATTATTCATTGAATGGAATTCTTGCATTTTTAGAGAACTGTGAATCAGGATCTGATATCTTACTTACTTTTCTTCTCAACTATTACCCCTGACCTCTTAAATTGTCTAAATGAATTGTGGAAAGCTATGCTAGGAAATAGAAAAACGGCTACTTGGGATATTGCAATGAAGGTATGGAATATCCCCTGCACCATAAAGTGAGCGTTCTTGATTTAGATTTGATATTTTACTGAATGCTATTGCTTCAATAGATCTATTATACTATTTGTGTTTTAAGGCTGTCGATTGATATTGTATGTAACTAAGCAACATTACTTATATAACGTATATATGGGTGTTTTTATTCCAGATAATAATTAGAGAATGCTTGCATTCTTTTGGCTTGGCTGTTCTTATTTTTCTGGTTCTTCCTTACATGGATCCTATACAAGCATGTGTTGTTATCAACGCCACTACATTCCTCCCAGGATTTATTCATATGGTCATGTACTGCAGAGGAAAAGAAGAAGAAAAGGGAGAAATATGCAGAAAGATTAAAATTTTTCTGAATATTATAAGCTCCGTGGTCCTACTTATATCACTTGTAATACTTTTGGTTTCTGTTGGTACTTCAGAAAGAAAGAATATACATGCACGGGATCCAGACGTTGGGGAGCTTTTGGTATGGACGATTGTATCTATTCTTACATTATCTAGTCGATGGATCCCGCAACTGCGAAACAAAGAGGATGAGAACGAATCAATAAACAGGGAGGAAAATTATGCAGTTATTAAATTCGTCTCGAGGTTTCTGAGGATTTGCATAACTGTTGCTTTATTTTGGACAATACTCTGCCCGGGAATTCGGGAAATCAAAGATGTTTATCGCATGTTCATGTCAACATCAAAAGTGGAAGGCCTCATTCCCGCCAACTGCACAATGTCTCCCAACAGAACAGTCATCTCATCCCACCAAAAGTACAAAAACATCTCAGCATGTGTGGATGAAGGCATCCCTCTCTGGGAAGTCCTTGGTCCATTTCTGGCACATGTCATCGGAGCAATATTGACAATGCATGTCGGAGTATTAGCCTGTAGACTTCAGATGCAGAGAATAGGATATTCAATCCCTCTTTCCATAGCTTCTCCCATCTATGTTATCTTAGTAGTTATATTGAAGAACGAGGAAAAAGATTTCATCTACCGATATTTTGAATTTATGAATAACAGTACGAATTGGATACTGTTCTTTGTTTTTCTTGTGGCTTGGTTAAGTCAACTAAATATGGTTCAGCATATTTGGGAGGTCCAACACGGAGAAACTCTTTTTTCGGCGAACAAGTAGGTTATGCAAATATAGTAAATAAAAAGATTGATAATATGGTTTCCCTGTTTACTTAAGATTTAAATAAAACTTACATATTTACATTCTAGGTTACTGATTCATCGATGTGATATTGATTCACACATTCTGAACAAACATTATCAATTTGTTGATATTCCTGTTTTTCATTTCATAACCAAAGAGTGGCATTGCACAAGAAAGCAAAAATTATACGATGACATTGCATGATAATGCAATATTAAGAGAATAAGTTTCTTTACAGGTTGTTTGTCTTTCCAAATTTCTGTGGTCCATTGGTGGATCTTTCACTGCTGCACAGTAGAAAAATAAGACGGAAGAAAGAATTAGAAATTTATGATGACCCTGAGAGCACTAAAGTCTTCATCTGTGCTACAATGTGGCATGAGAATAGGACTGAAATGAAACAGTTACTGTCTTCAATCTTCAGGTTCTGTTAAAAATATTCATGACGTTGTTAGCTAATGCATTTCCAAAGTTATGACTGAGGCATTGGTTTGGATTTTGACAAACAATGTTTTCATGAAATGCATTTTAATTCGATGTAGTATTTTTTTTTTGATTTTCAGGATACGTGATGTACAGCGGAACTATGGATTTGAAGGTAATAATTTAGTTCCTTTAAAAAATGAAATTGCCTTGGCTGCATTTAATTTACTTATATGATATATTCCTTAAATTTAAATATTGAAGAAAAAAATGCGACACATTTAATTTATGTTTAATGATAAAATATCCAATGTAAATTCATCTTATATTCAGCTCATATAATGTTTGATGATGCCATGGAGACTTCCAAAATGGGGGCAAATGGACTGGATCTTAAAGAGAACGACTTTGTCAGACAGTTCATGGAGGTTGTAGAAGAAGTGGGAATGTAAGGAGATCAGCTTTGTGTAGCATGATAATGTCATGGTACCACTGGTACTATAAACCATTTGTAGGATATTTCATAAATATCAATAGAATGGCACTATACATAACTATTTAGAATATGTAAATAATATTTTTTAATTGTACTCCACATTTGAATTTGGTTTGAAAATATATGTTTTAACATCTTTAAAGTATCTGAACCCGTGGAATTTCTGTGAGCAAAGCCTTATTTAAAAGAGCATTTGATAGGAATGAAAAATGTAAAGATAACCAACACTGACTGATCTAAAAGAAATCTATAAACAATGCAAATCTGTGAAGAGGGCATAAACACGGACACCAAGAAGTTCCAGAGGTAGGATCAGATACCTAGGAGGAAAAAGCATTCCCTGTTGACCAGTCATACCCGCCGTGTGCTCCTTGTCATGATCGGGGAAATAACGGAAAAATCCGTAGACAATTCAGTGTGTAAATAATGGCCAAACAAATAGTATGAAAAAAGTCAGTCAGCATTTAACTTAATAATAGATTGTATTTGCTGACAAGGTCATTGTATTATCAACGTATCTGTCAGTAGCCTGTCAGTGTTCTTGAGTATCGAATTAACAGTATATGCAGGTGATAGCAGGATATTACAACATTGCAAAAATGAAGGACACGCTCTTAAGTTAAGGTTTGCATTTCTACCAATATGAAAATATTGAAATAGGAGCACAGCTAATTAATTATGCATCTAAACATCCCATTTTTCTAATCAAATCAGGTAATACAGATCAATTGAAAAGAACTTGATAATGGCTACAGTGTAGTTCTTACTGTTCTGACAAACGTAATAACTTTTTTTTAAATTTCAGTGATTTCGATGTGAACTTAGGATCTCCTTCAAAGTACGCAACACCATATGGAGGTCGTGTGGAATGGAATCTGACGAAAGAATGTAAACTCGTTGTTCATCTAAAATTCAAAGGAAAAATAAGACACAAAAAGCGTTGGTCACAGGTACACTTTAGAATTCCAATGATAAATTTAAGGGGAGAAAGTATTTTGTAAAATACATATTTTAGTCGGATGAGTTATTGTATGGCCATATATGAACGTTTTAAACTGTTTTCCGATGTTTGAGAGACAAGTCGGACTCGTGTCTCAAACGGTTTATATCTATAAAAAAAAATGTTTTCATAACTGCATAAATTATTTATGCTTAAACTAAGCAGAAAATGACATGCTGAATAATCAGGTGAAAGAGAGATTACTTCAAATCATTTCTTTATACAGCATGATTTTAAAAAGTAAACTAAATTCACATTTTTCACAGTGTCTCTTTTTCCTGTATATGATTATTAATCCGAGTGTTTAAAAATGTGTATTATGACAAAAGAAATGCACTAAGTAGATTGTTTAAAGGATATATATCTTACGCCGTTATATCATTCTTAAACTGGAAGGTTATGGGCATTAACTTCAACATCATTAATTTTCATTCACAGATCATGTATATATATTACATCGTTGGTTACAAGTTAATCACTGAGTGTGCAGGAGGAGACAAAATTGAGAATCCGAAACCAACACAATCCATCTTTGAAATTCTTCCAATAAATTTAAGAGAAAAGGTAAGTTTAACCTTTTCCTAATTTACTGTGACTATAGCGATTTAAAAATATTCATGTACATTAAAATTTTTGAATGATTTCTCTGTAAAGTAGCTTCATGGAAAATTAAAATCCCAGCAGAATCTCCCTCTTTATTGCTCATGTATCTAAACTCTAGGAGGAAAAAATTAAACAGAACCTTAATCTTCACGAATGCTAGTATACGGATTAAGATTAAAAGCTGTAAGTTAACAATCACGTTTATGTATAAGAATTCTTCTTTAAATCAAAAGGCGGAGAACTGGTTTATCCTTGCACTAGATGGAGATGTAGACTTTCAGCCAAGCACCTTGCAACTTCTAATTGACCGGATGAAAGTCAATTTTAGAGTGGGATCTGTTTGTGGACGTATAAAACCATGTGGTTCGGGTATGGTGCAGTCCATTTCAGTTATACTTTCTCAAACATTTCTTCTAAACAAGGGTTTCGTTTGATGATTCTTAAAAAAAAAAAAAAAAGCATTTTTTTCTCTATTTTGGTGGAAACATTTTAGACAAAATTGTACAAAATCTCTTAAATGTAAATAACTAATACGATTGAAAAATAATAAACAACTTATTTTTCCCAGGGCCTGTTGTCTGGTATCAGAAGTTTGAATACGCTGTGGGCCATTGGATGCAGAAGTCTGCAGAACACGTGTTTGGGAGTGTCCTCTGTAGTCCCGGATGTTTTAGCTTGTTCAGAGTGAAAACCTTGATGGACGACAACATCATGCGTACTTATGCAACACTACCAACAGAACCACGCCACTACATTCAGTATGACCAAGGTAATGTTCTAAGTATACCGTGAAATATTTAATAAAAATTAATCTTATTACTAGTATTTCCCCTTGTATCATCATCTGACAAGTGTTTTGAAATTTGAGCAGGCGAGGACCGCTGGCTGTCTACTCTAATGCTGCAACAAGGATATAAAATCGAATACAGTGCAGCAGCAGAGGCGGCAACTTTTGCTCCAGAAGACTTTAAAGAGTTCTTTAAACAAAGAAGAAGGTGGATTCCATCCACAATGGCAAATTTAATGGACCTCCTTTCCAGTTCCTCAAGAACAACTAAGATGAATCCGAATATATCTTATTTGTTTGTAACTTATCAAGTTATTTTATTTTTATCTTCACTATTCGGACCCTCAACAGTTCTTTTGGCTCTTCAATCGGCTCTCGGTACCGTCTTTGGAATCCAAGCGTGGTTGACGTATACAATAATATTTTGCCCCGTAATAATTTTTGTAATAGTCTGCTTGAAGTGTAAGGATGACACACAATTGAATGTTGCGATGGCTTTGAGCACGGCCTATGCTCTTCTTATGATGGCTGTTTTAGCAGGGACGCTTGTGTCGATATTCAAAGACGGTTGGTTTACACCCACGGGAATGTTTTTCTACATTTTGACGGGGATGTTCATAATTGCTGGATTGTTGCACCCTGACGAGCTTGGAGACCTTCTAAAAGGCTTGCTTTACTTCATATGCATTCCGGCAGGTTATTTGTTTTTGATTATTTACGCAATCTGCAATCTAAACAACATCTCTTGGGGAACAAGGGAAAATACTACTGCTGTACTGAAACATGCCGATAGGCGGTCCAGAAGAAGAGAGACAGAAAAAGAAATATATTTTGTGACAACAGAAATGATTGAAGGAATGGTTGAGCAAGCGAGGAAAACTGTATCAAATTCATCAATTTCCATAATACAATGGTTCAAAAATCTTGTCTTACTGAAGTCTTTAGAATCTGTTCAAGCTATCAACGAAAAGACAAAGGATGTACCTGAAGAACCTATTGAGAGAACGGATAACATGTCTAAGGATGTGCATAAATCATCCTTTGAAGGTGTTCGTGGACCAAGTATCTTTAAAAAGGGCTATGACAGAAATAGACGCGCCCCAGGATCAAGCGCACATCCCTCTTCCCAACTGACCCAGATTGACGAAGTATCGTGGACAAGTAACGAAACTGAGGAAATTCGAACGAAGAAGCTTGATCAGAGGGAAGAGCAGTTTTGGAATACACTAATTTCTACATATCTTCGTCCCATAGATGATGATCCAGATAAAAAGAAGAATGATACAGAGAAATTGTCAGAGTTCCGATACAAAGCAGTCTTTGCCTTTTTATTTCTGAATGGTCTGTGGCTAGCTATTATGATTTCGATGAACGAAATCAAGAACCTCATAAATGTAACGATTCCACAGCCATCAGGTCCGCCAATAGTGATTGAGCCTCTTGGTTTTCTCTTTTTGGTAATATTTTCTCTCATGCTCTTGCTTCAGTTTTTTGGGATGTTGCTTCATAGATATGAGACATTTTACCACATTTTGTCCCGAACCAAAGTAGACTGCCCTTGTAAAAAACATAGCGAGAAAGATGGAAAATGCGTTTGCTGTTGTTAAAGTAACTATAAACATTTGCAGAAAATACTGAACAGAGTTAAATGAGTGCATCGTTTAAATGAGATATAATGAAATGGCACACATAATACCACTGATAAAGGCAATTGAAAATTTCAATAATCCACATTTACGAAGGAACAAGAATTGCCATTAAATACATTACGCTGTGATTAAACTCAATGGATTGAAAGAAATACGGAAATTGAAATTTAAAACGCGAGAAACAGCCGGTGATCAACAGTTTAAGGAAAATAAACAATAGAGGGGGACATTAAATTGAGGTACACATTGGAAGTCGTGCCAAATCAACTTCAAAAGAGGGGGACATATTAAACTGAAATACTTCTTGGAAGTCACGCCAACTCAACTTCAAACTACAGTGTACAATTCGATGTAATTGAAACAGAATGAACATAATGAGAATCATTCATCTTCATAGGAAGACTTTTTTATTATTCAAATAAGTTTTTTCACTCATTATTATGGCATACATGTACATTTTAACAAGATTTTTTTTTCGAAAACGCTTCCATCGATTTGCTTGAATACATGTCGCGATTCGAACCCGATGCAGTTTTCTCATGTTTGAAATTTCACTTGTTTTTAAGTAACAGCCCATTTTCTGATTTTAGGACACCCTTTCTGCAACAAAGTCTCTTATCAATGAAAAAAGGAATTAATATGTTGTACATGTATGTAAGTGGACATACTGTATTTGTGTATCTATTTTTTTTTTTATTTTCCCCGTGCATTAATGATGTGAAACAGCTGGATTTTGTAACCTGGTAATATATTCTTTTTTCAAAAGTCTTTTATGCACTGTAAATCACTTTTTTATTCGCGATAACTCTATTTTCGAGCGTAATTACGCGAATTTCATTCCCGCGTATAGTTCTATTATTAAAGATTATATAGTACAATACCCAAAATTCGTGAAAACTTTGTTTCGCTTTTAAATACCAGACAACCTCGCCAAAATAAGGTGTCGCGAAAAGAAGAATGTACGGTTTTGGCTTTATTGTGCCCTAAAAATTTAATGTTTTCAAAAAGTTTGGAAACTGGTTTAAATATGAGTTGAATATATGACTGTGATAAATCAGGAAAGAATATGGAAAGAAGGAGTACCATTCTGGAACTAAGACGTCATTAATGTGATGCATTTCTCTGTTATAAGCAGAAAAAGCCTCAAAATGACCCATTTCAAGGGTTATTTTCCTTTAAAAAATAGTGTCCACAGCTGTCGCCCACTTTAATTTTTGGATATGTTGTGTAAAATTCTTTGAAAAACCACATATCTCAAAATCTTTGTGGGCGATGCCTGTGGACAATATTATCTGAAAGAAAATTCCATTGATATTTGATGTCTTCTGCAACTTTTATACGGGAAAATGCACAAGTTTATGACGTCACAGTTAGCATTTAGAAGGTCATGTGAGAAAAAATGATTTTTATGATCTTTCTGCATGGACTTTTAATGATTCAGAAAACATGAGTTTTAATGTTTTCCATCACTTTCATATTTAAGAAAAATATAGGGCAAGATTTGTATTGAAACCGTACATTGTTCTTTAGTGATCTGCAGTATAATTTCTTCTTCTCTTTTTACTTTAAATTTTCCGTTTATCTTTAAGTTCACAATCGCTGCCTAATTATTTACCGGTTTCTGTATTCTCTGATTAATTAAGCAAAATTTAAAAATTTCCAATTGATGCAGTACATGTATATAAATACCTACAAATATATTTTTTTTAAATTCTTTGATGCATTTTTTTCTCTCTTTATTTTTCGATAAAATATCAGATTTCATAATTTGTTATGGCTTTTTGCCTATCAGATAAGTAAATTGAAAACATCAATCGGCGACACAAATACATCTCTAGAGCTTTAACAGGTCGGGTACACTACCTTATATGGAAGGCAATTTTCAACACGTGACGATGTCTTCGTCACACCCGTTCTCCAATCAATTGAATGAGTCCCAAAGCATGACAGTCTACTACGTGTTTACGATTCAATAGCGACGCGTGGTTTCGTCGGTTTACAGCATAATATTTACTTCGTCACCGGAAAAACCGTAGAGCTTCTTTTTCACTTTATAAGGCCAAAATTGAAAGATTATATTTCAAAGACACTGCTCCATGCTCACATTTAATATTGGAGTTGTTTTAGATGATTAATAGTTGCTTCAAATACCATACAAACGCTTTGACATTTGCATGTACATAAAAACTTTTTGATAATATTGAGGGGTTAAATAATAATTGCGCACCTTGTACTGCTGTCTAAAACTATTTACACGTATATCATGTGGGGGAAAAAAACCCTCAATGCTTTATTGACACGATAGCACCTACGTCTCTTTGAACAATGGTTTAGGCCGATGTATTATAAGTTGATATAAGGCTTCCTAAAGCAAATTTTGTAAATGTGAGCATGGAAATGAAAGACTATGCATCATTTTAAATATTTCTTTCATAAATATCAAAAAAGAATTGAAAATGAGTTTCCAAGGGACAATTCAAGTTGCCCTTTATTTTCAACACAACTGAGTACTTGTAGTAGCCCACAATGCATTGCGACTCATTCATCAGCGGGTAAAGTAAACAGATAGCTAATTTACATGCAAATTTATGCTGACGTCAGAAAATCTAGTGGTCTCGACCTGTTTAAAGTCTTTCCATATCCGAGTCTCATTATACATATAATTACAAAATACAAATTTTCCGGAAAATTTTGCAATTTTTACTTAAGGAACAGGAACTATAAACTATAAAATAATTTTATTCCCACAGCCATGAAATGCTAACAAGTAACAAATAATTTTTTTAACAAATCAGTCGAACATTAAAAACTGGCCAATCAAAAATCACATGATTGCTTTGATAAAATGTAGAAACTTTTTTCACTATGATTTTAGGAGAAGTTTGGCTCTGGTGGGCTTAATTAAATATGTTTGTAAGAGAGAACAATGGCATGCTCGTCATGTTGGGAAAAAATCATAATTATAATGATCTTTGATCAATAAAAAGTCATAAGAACTAAAAATAGGAAAATTCCAATTTTAAGAAATTTTAAGAAATAAACCTCACAATAACCCAACAATGTACTTTTAAAATTACAAGGAAAAAAATCCATTTTAAGTAAATATTGAATATCACAACAGATTTTTATGGATTTTACAATTATACAGCTAGTGTAGTAGAGTAAAAGAGATCTAGTAGTGGTCAACTAAATAAAGAGAAATCAGTGAATAAATATATTTCATTTATCCAATTCATTATAATTATATTATACTTTTTTCCAGTTGATATTAATAGATCAAGATAATGTGCAAAATATAATAAAATATACATAATAATAATCATGAAGTTTATATGTAAAAAGCATATGAGGTATCATTTAAAAATCAAGGAATTCAAACATAAACATTCATGTCAGAGGAAAGAAAGTGGAACTTTTCTATTTTCTTTCTATCACAATGTATTGGGGGAGGGGCTAATAAATACTGGATTTTACATAAGTTCCTTTTTGATAGTACACGTATAGAGTTTCTTTTTGATAGTACACGTATAATAAAAACTCAGATCAACATAACATTTAAAAACATCCAAAAAAAAAAATCTAAAAAACCTATATGTCATTTTTAAAAGGAAAAAATATACTTCTATAGTCATATTGCTTAATGCTACAACTAAAAAAACCTTTAACGTGGAATTGCTATCATGTTTGCTTTCAGAAACCAGAGTGATAAACACCTGGAAATTAAAAAAAAAATATTAAAAGTATGGCACATTGTTTATAATAAAAAATGAAAGACAATGCTGGCCTAGTATAACCCCTTGGATATGATGTATCAATAATTAGTTTTCAACAAGTGCAGTTTTAATTCATTACCTTAATTACTTCATTTTTAGATAGCTGACAAAATACAACATACCTCATAATGATTAAAGGATTAAAGTAATATAAGAAACTTTAAATGCATTGGCAAACTGACATAAATAGACTTACAAACAGGTGGTAAGTGGGGCATTACTTTCCACATCAAGGTTATGAGAACTTGAGGACAAAATTAAGCAGGAAGATAGATGTTGAAATTATTTACAAACCAACAAACCATGAATAGTCAATTAAACCAATACTTTAGAAAAGTATACTAATAATTCAACAAACACACAACTCATGATAAGGTAACATGAAATACTGTGCAATCACTTATTTTTATGGGGATATAACTTTTGTTGTTTTTCATGGTGTGAAAGGAACCCAGGAATTCATGTCCTCAATTAGTTAAAATTATAATAAAGACTAGACAGATCTTCAACCATAAAAGCTATTGACTCCATGAAAATAAGTGATTTTACAGTTTTTTTTAAGTTTCATCCCTCTTTCTTTTGAAATAAAAGTTGAAAATTTTAAAAGAGTACTTTTTCATAGTGATAGGAAAATCTGCTATGACAAGAAGGAACAACACTTCCTGGTTGCAAGTGATTTTGTTTTGAATCACAGAGATTAACATTTTTTCAAAAGATTTGTTTAAAAACTGGGATTACTATAGCAATTTTTTTTTTTAAATATTCCTACTTAATAAGTTCAGCTTTATTGGATGAACAAAAAAGTTCAATGCTAAAACGATTAAAGTTATAAAAGAAAAACTTTCTGAGCATGGACAAAGGGACAGTATTACTGACCAACAAATGGATCAGCAAATAGGGCACCCTGAATGGTAAAGGGAACGTTAACTTTCCATATCAAGGTTATGATCAGTATAAAAAATAAGTCAAAATTTAACAAAAATTTAACAATGCAAAAAGCTGCTGTAAGTCAAAGAAAATTTGAATTACAAACATCATGCATAAATACATAAATAAAAAAAATACTAAATAAAAAGTATGAATTCTTTTGAACAGTCTAGTAGTAAATCAACAACTGCAGCTCTTGCTAAGGTCAGATGAAACATAATTCTATCTTTCTCTCCTACTGGAAATGGAGAAGAAGACAAGACATGAAAATTCATTTTTTCATACTGACAGAAAAAAAATCTATTATGACAAGGAAAGAAAAGATTATGGTTGCAAGTGATTATTTTTTCTACACATTGACTAAAACTTAAAAATAAAATATTTGAGCAAACTAAAGCATTTCACTTTTAGAATATAAAATAAAACAACTTTAAAAGGATGATATTTTTATAAATTCAAAACAAACCCAAGATACCTATTCACACCTTAAAAATAATCATAAAAATAGAAATCCAAACAAATATCTACATAGTAAAGAATGTGAGCGCTTATTTACACTGATATCAAACAAAGGTGTTCAAGAATTATTTTGCTCCACATGTGTGTTTGACATTTAGCTGTTTTACAACCTTTTTATTACTTTGATGCTTCATTTTTTAAAGGGCACTTAATATCAAATTAAGAGTACCCATTAATTTGTTTTCAACTGTTAAAACTTACCAGTAAACAAAATTATAGATCAAATATGAAAACAAGTTTAAAATTATTATGGTTGATATAAAAGCAATTTTGACTCAGGAACCAGACGTGTTACACCAAGGGTTAAAAATATCTCAATTATTTTTCATGGCCATATGATACATATCATATTGAACAGACTCATTTATCATGTTTATCTGTAAAATATTTTATTAGTTTACTTTTACTTAATAAAATTTCTTCAACTCAGTATTTTTGTGTCATTAATTAGCACAATTATACATAAGAATACTAGATACTGGTATTCTTCAAATGTCTGATGTAATTTTAAAAATGAATTTTGGATGACTCTACACATATATTTACATGCTTCTAAAATACAGTCAAAGTACATTGCATAATTTTTAAATAAATCCTTAAAATGGCTACATTCAACAACACAAATACAATGTTTTGAAAAGACTAGCCCTGACAAGTACCATCAGCAGTAACTATGGTCTCTATCACATCATGGCGATTTGGGAGTTGCTTATTCCTTTTCTTTTGATAGAAATAACAGACCGTCATGGCAGTGGCACTTATCACAGTACAGACACCAGCGTAGAGGAAAGATCCAACAAAGGAACCCGTTCCGTCCTTGATGGCACCTGTAAATTAAAACCAGCTGTTTTACTAAAGGTGTTAATTTATTCGTAATCTACATATATATAGAAAACATATCTACCTTAATAAATTTGATTTTTTTTTTTAAACAAATAATTATACATTCATTTACAGACAAACTTCGTTATCTCGAATTCGATGGGGGGTGAGAAAAAAATTTGAGATATCCAAGGATTTGAAATATCGAGGGTAAAATACTTAAAGAATAAGTGGTTGGGACTTCCAAATCACTTTGACATATCCATGGTATTCGAGATATCAGTGTTTGAGATAACAAAGTTCAACTGTATATTTATACACACCTAGAATTGGATTTCCTATTGTTAAACTCAGACCATGAACCAGCATAGTGAGCCCCATGGCACCTGATAAATTTTCTAAACCCACAAAATCAGCTAGAACAGCAGGAAATAAGGAAAAATATACACCAGTGCTTGATCCCATCACTGAGGCTAGAGTTGAAAGGCCAGAAAACTCAGTCATCATCGGCATGCAAATAATTCCTACACTAAGTATCCATAGAGCAGCGGCCATCATTAGGTCTTTAGGCAAAATGTTGAATCTTGTTAAAAAGATGAGAATAAATTTCCCAGATAGATCTGAAGCACCAAGAACAGTGAGAAGTAACACTCTATCATTTTCTTCAATGCCTTTCTCAGCAGCAAGAGGTGGGACATAAGTTATTAGTTGTGCTGCCCCAAGAATAGCAAAGAAAGCTACAACCATCCAAATTTGAAAAATTCTTATTTTCAGGCAATGAAAACCTATGATTTCATGTAAGATTTTCATACAATTATGTTGGGATTTCTTTGCTTCTCCACCAGAATTCATATTCTTGTTGTTAAGCCTCGTATCTTGGCTATGTATGCTGTACATAGAACCAACAATATCTCCTGTACTAGAAGCAATGGCCAAATCACCACTTATAGCAACATTGTCAATAATTCTGTTCAGTGACCTTGTGGAATGGTGAGTTTCTGGTTTAAGATGATGATGATGACATCGTTTTTGTTGCTCTCTACGACTGTCAGAATATGTCCGATTCCTGATGAAAGGCTCAAGATGATCTCTTCCAGATATTTCATGTAGAATGTCTTGAGAATGTTCACTGCAATTTTTTGTCTCCTTGGGAACAGACCTTTTATTCATCTGAGCATGTGACCTCTCATTTTCTACACTTTTGCCATTGGCTGTTTTTGTGTTTTGATCTTGTAATAGTTTTTCTGTGTGTTCTTCATCATTACTGTCAAGTTTCTTTGATTTTTTTCTTGATGATTTATCATAGAAAGACAATGGCCTCAGAAGACCTCCAACAACAAAGAAATTCAACAAAATCCCACTCTGTATTATCAAAGCTCCACGAAGCTCGTATGTGTTTAACAATGCCCGTAATATAAGAGGAAACACAAGAACACCTACGCTAGCACCAACATTGGCTAACGTTGTCGCCAATCCTCGATACTTTTTGAAGTATTGTCCTAGAATAACTAAGGAGGGACCATGGGTACAAGCATGTGTCATTCCTGGGGAAAAAAATTTAAAGAATTTTGCATGTGAGTACATGTATAACAAAAAAAAAAAGTTACTATCAAACAAAGCAAGGCAAATGGAAATGTTTTAATAATAAATTGAATGTATTTACATATGCATGTATATACATGTATATGTATATTCATATCATTTTAAAATTCAAGCTTTGTGATTTCAGAAGCATAATTACATATTAAACTGATATGCACTTCTAATTTTCATACACATACAATTATACAGACCCTAAAACGTGCTTCTACACCACTTGCACGGTTCGATTCGTTTCGTTTTGTGTACAGTACAGTACGCTTCTTGCATGGAACGGTACGTTTTGTGTACGGTATGGTTCGCTTCTTGCACGGTATGGTTCACTTCTTGCACGGTATGGTACGCTTCTTGCACGGTACGGTATGCTTCTTGCACGGAACGGTACGGTTCGTTTCTAAGGTGTAGTAGCACGTTTTAGGGTCTGTATTAAGAAAAAATGATGAATGTATACTTCTTACACCCAAACCTTACCTTTGAGTAAAACAACATACAGTGCATTAGAAAGGGCATACTCAAAAAGATACCAAAAAAAAAATGGGGAAGAAGGTGAAAAGAAAAAAAAGGACTTACCATAAAGTATTCCTTGAGAAAGAATGAGAAAGGAAATGTTTGGCAAGAAGGCATTCAGGATATATGCTGAAAAGCCCACCACCCCTCCAAGCATGATAAAAACTCTATAGGGAAGCAGCCTGGGACCGATGTTTAATACCAGGAGAGCTGAAAAACAAACCAAAAAAATTGTCTGCAGTCCTTCACCTGCCATGAACATGTATTTACTTGGTTTTGTAGCATGAAAATATTTATAATTTCTGCTTCTTATCTGTAATAACAGTGCAGTGTGAACCCAGAACTTTTGTTAGACAGGTAGCTTATACCTGTTATGCCCCAAAATTGCTTGTGCATATTGCTTAGCACTTGATGCAATCAACCATTACACTGTTTAAAATGGATACAATACATATGTTTTTTTTTCTGATCTTCCTGCATTCACTGGGATGCACATTTATTGAAATCATGCACCCTGAGCAAATTAAATGCATTATTTATGCAGAACTCACACAAAAATGAATCACTGCCTGGGGTCATAATTTTAACAAATTGTATTATACAACCAGAGAATGCTTCCATATAAATACAGTCAAACTTCGTTATCTCGAACTTGATCGGACCAAGAAAAAACTTCGAGATATCTGAGAATTTGAGATATCAGAGGTAAAATACTTAAAGAATAAGCGGTTGGGATTTCCAAACCACTTTGACATATCCATGGTATTCGAGATATCAGTGTTTGAGATACTGAAGTTCAACTCTACAAATAATCAAGCCTTTGCTGTTCTTGAGAAGAAGATTTTTCCCATATATTCCTATGTAAAACTTTGATTGCCCGTAATGGTCCAACCCTACCCTGGGGGTCATGATTTGAACAAACTTGAATCTACACTATCTGAGAATGCTTCCATATCAGTATGACTTTTCATGGCTTTGCTGTTCTTGAGAAGTAGATTTCTAAAGAATTTTTTCTCTATATTCATACATTAAACTTTGATCATTCATTGTGGCCCCACCCCACCTATGGCAGACATGATTTGAACAAAATTGAATCTACAATATAAATTAAGCTTGCACATAAGTTTCAACTTATCTGGCCAACACTAAATTTTCACTATTTCTTAATTATCACCCCTTCAAAGAGGGCATGACATTTTAACAAAATTGAATCCCCTTCACTCAGGGATACTCTATATCAAGATTATGACGACAACTACAGCAGACGATAGACAAATTTTGATTAGAAAAGCTCACTTGAGCCTTTGGTTCAGGTGAGCTAAAAATGACAGGCAGTTGTGCCCATGGAAAAAAAAATCTACTAAATACTTGTGAATAGTTTATTCATATCCACTATAATTTCACCAATGGGCACCACTGCCATGAGAATGAAATTGCTGTTGAGAAAAAGATTCTATCCTTTCCAAAAACTTAATTGTCAATATATTAATTATTGTCCATATTTGAAAGTTGATTAGTAGTTCTTCATGGTATAATTGAAACAATGATAAGTACACAAAGTGTAACAAGTTCAACATTTTTTTATGTACATGTATATAGTTAAATATAATCTATGGTACTGTAATTAGTTATACTTACACAGCAGACTTAGGGTTACAGTTTGTACCGAGAGAGCAATAGAGATACTGGTCGCAGAGGAATTAAACTTAGTCGTGAACTCATTAAACAGAATTCCAAATGAGGCATGTGTCCCAATCAGAAACAGCTGTTGAAAGGTACAGGCTATAAAGGAAATGCATTAGTTAATGAAACTTTACTTCAATATTTACCTTTAAACATGTGTTTAAGAAAGTAACCCATGGAGAAATCTTATACTTAATGTTGTCACAGAGAGAGAGAGAAAAAAAGCAAAAGAGAGGGAGAATTGAATAACATTTTGTATCAAAATTTACTAATATCAACTAAGAAGGCATTCATGATTGCAATAAATCTGAAATCAGGTTTTTTGTAATGGCATGCCTTCAATGTGCAAACAATACATTTACAGATACTGATAGCTTAAAATCATTAAATTATAATTACTGAGAAGAAAGATTATCTAAGGTCTTCAGAATCTCAAGAAAACAGTACTGGTATGCTTTTTTTTTTTAAATATATGAGTACATGTACCTAAGAGAACAACCCAGGCCCATCCTCTGTCAATAGGGTATCTATCTTCCTTGGCATTGTCCATATTTTCTGTATGATAAAGCAAGCAGATATGTCAAGACAAAGATTTATCACCATTCATCAGCAATGTAATTTTTCAATCAAGTCATATATATTTAATAATTGTATTACATAACATCACCTGTAAAGAAAATGATTATGATAATTACACTAATGCAGTAATACAGTAATACACCCCTGACTGCTGATAGAGTGTTTGCATAGATAATAATGTGATCCCCTCCCTCTTTTCAGGCATGTTTCTACTCAAAGAATAATTGATTTTTGCATTTTAAGTTATTGTTTTAAGCAAGTTAAAAGTTAACATGGTTAAAGCACAGAATTAGATACATATTTAAATCATCAGGCTTCTTACATTGTCTTATGTGAGAAAAATATTAAATCTTTCTGAGAGTTAATAATAGTTGCAAAGCCATGTTGATACAGCTGATTAACATCTGCACCTGCTCATTTCAAGAACATAAATAGAACACACTGAAATTATGTAGGCGTGTGTCATAGTTATCATAATTATACCAATTAAGCACAGTTAAATGCACTTGTAGCTACATATATGCCTCACTACCCCCTCCAACGTACACTTACACAAATTCATGTACCTAACTGAAATTTAATAACCATTTGGTCAGTAATTTTGTGTCCGATATGGGCGACTGACCACCTAACGGGGTTAAACCATTAACGTTAACCATAAAAATTACCTTAGCTTACATTGTTTATCAGGTTGGGCACACCCCACCAAATGGTCATTTATCCCCCGTCTGGTGGACAATCTCCCATATCGGAGACGAATTTTACTGACCATTTGGGAGAGAAAAATGGTTGTGTTCAATTTTCTAGAATGGCGTGGAATGGCGCATAATTTTAAACCATGTGGAATAAAATATCGATATTTATCGGTGTTCTGAGTGAAAAAAAATCGGAAATTCAATGTGTAATTTTTTGCGAAGAGTCGTTCAAAAATTTGACATAAAACGTCATGTACGTAAACAAGAGCAACGTTTCTCAGTTCTTACTTAAAAAGAAAATTCCCTCCTTCTCCAATGATGCTGCACCTGTCAATCACGTTCTTTACTTTCTATTTCGATTATCCGGGCAACCAATCAAATAATGCAAACCAATAAAAACGATTATCTTTTTTTAACCTGGTCAAAAGTCGGATTTAACTACGGAGGCACATTTGTGTTAATTTTCAATTAGGAAATCAAAAGAAAAATAAGTTTTCGCCTTTATTTCGTTTTATTTTGTACGTAATGGCTTTGTTCTTTATAAAAATAGTGAATGAAGTTAGATTATGATATAATTATTGTTTTAAAACGATGTACTTGGAACAAAAACAAGAATAATTGCAAAAGTCACTTTGTAAATCTTTTATTGAAAATTATTTATCAAATATATTAAATTCATCAGGAATATACATATTAAACCAAAAAGGTCGCATGGAATATGGAACTTCATCCTAAAAGAAAAATAACAACAGATATTACGTTCAAGTCTAGAAAAATTTAACTTTATAGCAGTAAGTGCCCACCATACCAGTAAAGTAATGAAGAGCTCATGTTTAACGGGATTTTATGGAAATAAATATTGACGACGATCATAAGAGCGATTGAAAGTTAACTTATCAAGAGTTAAACCACTGGATAAAATAGAATTTTTATCGTACTAGACACAATCAAATTTTTTTTGATCGATTGATCAAGAAGTTCGGCTGTTACGGACAACTATGGGTATCGTTTTTACGAAGTTATGGAGAAATTGCACGTGGAAAATTGATTGAACTATGTTAATTGTGCGAGGAATATATTCACTAAAATTCCCCAGTGCCTATGCAAATGCGCTTTTGCTTTATTTTAATAAAATTTGGAATAGAATAAAAAAAGTCCACCATTTAGTCAGTAAAAGTCGTCTCCGATATGGGAGATTGTCCACCAAACGGGGGATAAATGACCATTTGGTGGGGTGTGCCCAACCTGTTTATAGATCGAGATGCAACGCAGTTACGTTCCTTCCTGTCGCAGGAATTTCAACTTAATATTACAATATACATAGACAGCATAACTACATATGCATCTTTATCTTGCCATATTAAATTATGTCAATTAAGCTCTGCAAAAACTCTTACAATTCGCAACTTAGCAGCATATGTGTCAGTCCTGCTGCCACTGTCATATACCGGATATCTACGTCGGAAACTAATTTTAAAAAATACCGACAGCTTTCCGGAGACTTCATTCCTATTAAAAAAAAAAAAAAATCTATGGGAAAAAACGATATGATTTAAATTTCTTTACATCGAAGTTTTTCCTCATTTGAGCTTAAGTAGGATAGAATTACCAAACGGATCAACCTTTTAAAAAAATGAAGATCAATTACTGGTATGATAAAGGGGAAAAAAATTCCACACTTACGTTAGAGTTATAATATTTATTGCAATTTCTTTTATTTCTATAACAGGGTTTACTTTCTATTCCAGGGGATTAAATAAGTCTGAAATGGACTGAAAAGACTGGAACAGTAGCAGCTGGACAAATATTTATATATGATTTTTGAAGCTAATAAATAATTTGCAATGTCTCCAAGCAGTCAGTTTTTATCTGCAAACCTACTGATAAATTACAAAACAATTTTTTGTCTAAGATGTTACACAGCATTCTGCAAAACCAACGTTACACAGTATCAAAGCCGTTCCTAAGCTTTGTACAGAACAGGATAAAATTTATCTTTCGGATAACCATTCAGCCACAGGCGACTTTTTTCAGTTTTTTTTAAATGGACATACGTATTTACTTGGAATTATTGGTGGTATTTTCTACTATTTTAGCAGGTACTTTTTAAAAATAATAATAATGAAAAAATGAAATATTTATAATAACTCTTCCTGATCAATTATTATCGGGAAGAATTATTCAAACTTATTTAAATCTTTTCTCATAAGGCTTATTTTGTAATTAAATAATGGGTTTTCTATTAAATAAATTTTGCTTTTTCTGGAGCACATCTATACTTATAAATTAATAAATTTTGCAAATAAACTCCGAAACGGGTGCACCAGAGTTCTTACTTACTCCTCTAAGAATACACACGATACAAGATGATGTCCGTAAACTATATTTAGATTTCACTAGCATTGTAAGTATCGTACATTAAATTAAAAGTCTACTTTTATTTTCTATAAACAGCCATGAAATAGCAAAATCGTGAGTACGGTGGCGTTTCCGATTGGCGGATCAAAGTTACTGGCAATTTTTAATGAAACTGACAACAAGCAATCGTTTATTTATTTCATTAAACGTCATTACTGAATTATTCAATCAAAACTTGATTTAAATGATATAAAAGAAATAAGTTGTGATAACCGATTAAAAAGGGAAATGTGCAATTTATTTTCGTCATTCACCGATCGTAATATTGACGGAAGCTTCTAGAACATCATATAGCATCGAACCCGATGTTAAAAAGAAAAAAAGCTTTTGTGTGAATGGTCATTGAAATAGTGGTAAATCATTGATAACACTGTAAGTTGTGAATATATTTATATATCGAAAGACTATTACATACGTATATGTAGTAGGTTTTCCTAATAAATTTATCGGTAAAATTTGTATATCTTCCTCACTGAGAGCATCGTGGCAACGAACCCGAAGTACAATTTGTACTTCGTAATAAACTTGCTTACATGAAAAGAGAATATCAATGAATAAGGCATTAATCAAATACAATTATGTTATATAATTTTGTGCTTTAATTAATACATTTCAGTTTTTTTTCTGAATACAGTCTTTTGTATCAAATACTCGGCCTATTCCAGTGGCGGATCCAGGAATCTTGAAAGGGGGGGGCAACCATTTATGGGTTGGGGTAGGGGCCCACGGACACACCAAAAAAATAATTTATTAAATTTTATGTATATTTTGGACACAAAACGGGAGGGGGGTTGGGCCCCCTCTAAATCCGCCAGTGTATTCATAGGGCGTTAAATAAAAGCTAATTTTGACACAGGTACTTTTAGGTCTTGGATTATAAATATGTATACATGTAAAAAAAAAAAAAAAAAGGGAAGGTACAGTTTTTACATATCAATAAGGTACATACATATTTATAAACCAAGACCCAAGTAACTGTGAATTTTTACCCAAAAAAAATCTATTTCTCAGTAAAATGTGCATATTCACTGCTTTTATTCGTGACGGAAATGAAATAAGAGCATCTGAAGTACAATATCCATAACATAGTACATTGTATATAACAGGTTTCACAATAAACGTCAATTAATGATATTGTTATTTAAGTTTTACAGGGGTTGGGGGGTTGGAGACGTACTTCGTACTTCTACTTCATGCGGGATTTTGAACAAAGTATTTCTTCCTGCTATAAGCCTGTAGGCTGTCAGTAGAAACTACAATATATACATGTATATTATTAGATTTTTCTGTCGGTAGTGGTATAAATTCAATTCCCCGCGCTTGCGCGGGATTTCATCTAGTATATCAATAAATCACGATAAGAAATAATATTATGTGAAGTATTTTAGGCCCCGTGAGGTTAATTTTTAGTCAGCCCGCTTATATTCTCGTTACCAAGGTGAAAAAGGGAAAATCTCAGAAGTTGGGGCATTGGTTCTGAGAGGTGAGAGATAGGGGTAAATAGTCTTAATATTTTGAAATGTTCATTTAGTATACTTACATGTATCAACTAAAACAAAAAAAATTCTATAAAACTAGATGCTGTCATAATAAAGTAATATCCACAAGTTAATGTTGTTTGTAAGGTTGTTCTCGCTTTTTATCTTGGCATAACTAGTGAAAAAGTCATTATTAAAGAATTATATAGTTATTCCTAAGTACTACTTTTTAAAAAAGTATATTCTTACGCCGTAACATCAATCTCTCACCAGAGGGCGTATCACGCTATGCTACAACCAAAAGTTGAAGGTCTGACGCCTTAAATGTATGATAAACATATTAGGGAAAGCAACTATTGAATACATTACTACATGTATATATGGGGAAAGAGTATTCAAAAGTTGTGATTTCATACATTCATTTTTATAAAGTCATAAACTCAAAAATAAAAGCAATTACAGGTTGAAATGCAACCAAATAATAGAAAAAGAGCCCTGTAACATATACATGTACCAAGGACGAAGTGTCATTTTGCTTATTGGTTGACAATGATTGCCATGGTTTTAATACTGCAAAGGGATTTCAAATTTACTAGTACTCTCTGTATGTTTTAATCTGAACTTATCTTTTTAAAATGCACATTTCTATATAACTTGTGATCAATTTTAAAGACATTGGTGTTCTCCTAATTTTCACATTTCAACAAATTCAAATTGAATTCTTTAATTAGCTCGTTGCTGTGGAAACTATAGAAAAGAATATGTATAAAAAGCTGAAAGAAATTTTGTTTCCTTGGATACGTACCCCGGTACCCTTGTACATGTTGTATGTAGATTCCCAAAACTTTTATGACTGATATTTATGAACATATATTATTAACCTTTCAATTTTGACAACCACACGATTCCTAACTGAATGCAAGAAGCTACCACGTAGGGTTGAATATTGCTAGAAAGCTAATAAAATTGAACATTTTCCCTTCTTGGTAACCCTTGGCAACAACGTTATTTTCTTCATCAAACTTTGCCAAAATATATGATATTCAACTTCAGTTCTATCAGATATAAGTACAATTTAAGAGGAGTCAAGAAATACGTTTTTTGAAAAAGGGTAACTAAATCTTAAAGCAGCAGAAAATATCACTTTAAACCAATGGTACCTTGTTTCCATGGTAACACTGCAAAGTAGCAATTAATCCCAATTTTTCTTATGCAATTTGTGTTACAAGGTCCTAACGATGTGACTATTTGCCAGTCTTGAATTTCCATGTTTTTCCTTATGAAAGCAGCATTAACCAAAAAACTTAGCAACAGAATTTAAGGAATTTCGAATATCTAACATGTTCGCTTCCCCTCCCCCCGGTCCTTTTCATAATTTAAATTTTTCCTTCAGACTAAGAATTGAATGCTTGTTTCAAATGTTTTACGGTTTACAAACTTTATTTCTATAATGTTACATGGCTTGAGGAGGGTGCTACGCGCTACAGAGGCAACCTTGTAACAATTTTAAGCACACATTTTGTATGGCCCTCTTTTGAATTGAATGGCTCTAAGTACTGCTTAATTGAATGATTGTAATTTTCCAAGAAGCATGACTAGGGCCTGTAATAAGGTGAACATTTACTCAAATCACACTGATGGCCTAACGGTTAATCATTTAACAATATCCATTTATAATTGTTAAGTGGAAATCTATGGTTAGTAGAGTAAAACCATGCAACAAGTAAACGTCACATGTAGGCTTATTAACTGTACGCATTTGAATAAAGCACCAAACGAACATTTTTATGCAATGAGAAAATATGACATACCACGTAATGCGTAGAACAACGAGGGAGTCATGATGCAAATGTGTTTTGGCTAACATTCAACACAACGACACGATGTCTGAAAAGGAAAAAATTATAAAAATATAGAATTTAAGTGAACTGAATGCATACAAGGGAAAGGGATAGTGAATGTCAAACCCTAATTACATACTTGGTCAAATAAAGAATATTTTATAGACCTCCTCTCAGCATGTTGATAATTTAGGGCATCAGCCACACATATACTTTTCATAACGGTACATTAAATAATATCTATCTGGGATTTCAAGCTTACATATCATCTTACTTGCATGTTAGTAAATATATAAGTATTGTTCTTCAAGCATATAAAATTCTTCTCTATTAAACACACACAAAAAAACACAACATCGTAATGATCTAATTGTGAACTGGGAAGCAGTATCTTCTGTTGTTTGAAGTTATCGCCCTTATAATTTTAAATTACATTCATTTTTTTGCATAAATAAACAATTATGCTAAATCCATTTTTAAGTAAAAAGATCAAGAATAAACATTTTAAAATTTCTTTTAAGATAACGAAAAGAATGTTGTCTTTAGTGTAGAATAAGTATTTTTCCCATTATTTTTTATTGTAAATAAACTATGAAAAATCTTTGTATTATGCATATATATATATTATTTCTCGAGGCCTTAAAGTAATTGAATACGACGGACAATCAATAAATAAAGAGAGTATGAGAGAGTGGTGAGAAAGGGCGAGAGGGAGTGAGTAGAGAGGGAGGGGCAGTGAGGAGAGAGTGGGAGTTGGGAGGGGGAGAGAAAGTGGGGAGACAGAGATAGGGAATAAGGAGAGAGAGAGAGAGAGTGCGGGGAAGGAGTGTGGGGAGAGAGGGAGTGGGGGGGGGAAGAGAGGGAGTGGGGAGAGAGAGGGAGTGAGAGAGGGACTGGGGAGAAAGAGGAGGTGGGAGAGAGAGAGAGTGGGTAGGAGTGGGGAGGGAGAGATGGTGGAGGGAGTGGGGGAGGGAGAGAGAGGGAGTGGGGGAGAGAGTGGGGAGGGAGTGGAGAGAGAAAGAGAGGGAGTGGGGAGAGTTGGAGAGAGAGTTGGGAAGGAGAGAATGGGGAGGGAGAGATGAGAGAGAGGAGGGAGTAGGGAGGGAGAGATGAGAGAGAGGGAGTGGGGAAAGAGAGGGTGGGATAGGGAGTGGGCAGGGAGATAGGGGAGAGAGAGAGAGTGGGGAAGGGAGAGAGTGATGGGGAGAGAGGGAATGGTGAAGTGGAGGAGAGAGAAGGATAGGGGAAAGTGTGGGGAGAGGAAGGTGGGCCAGAGGATGGGGAAGGGGTATAGAGAGAGAGGATGGAGAATGAGAGAGAGAGTGGGGAGAGAGAGGGGAGGACAGGGAGAGATTTAGGGAGAGAGAGAGAAGGGGAGTGGGGAGGAAGGAGAAAGTGACCGGGATTTGGGGAGAGAGAATGGGAATGGTGGGGAGAGAGAGAGGGAGGAGAAAGAGATTGAGAGAGAGTGGTGAAGGAGAATCGGAGCGGAGACAGGGAGTGGGGAGGGAGAATGGGAGCGAAGACAGAATGGGAGTGGGGAAGAATGTGGGAGGGGGGAGAGAGTGGGAGGGGGAAGAGGTGGTAGTAGGGAGAGAGTGGCGTGGGAGTGGGAATAACTCAAATATTTGTTGTTCACTCTACGACTTGCCAAGATCCCTCCTTTTTTCTTGTCAAAACTTTTAACTTTTTTTAAAATACAATATTTGCGAAGTATGAATAAGGCGCCTAAATATTATATATGAACTATCCTGCATTTATTCGATCCATGTAAATGAATGTTCAGTCATGGGATTTCTTAAAAAAAATTAGCACAGTTTTATGCGAGATAGTACACGATAAGAAGAAGTACACAGATGTCAGCACTCAATGTCATATAATGGTAACATCAATCAGAGAGAGAGAGAGAGAGAGAGAGAGAGAGAGAGAGAGAGAGTTTGAATGATCTGAATGCGTTAAAAAGAATTATGACATGTTAACCATTACTATTGTTCTGAATTCTAAATAGCTATATTAACAGCAACTTACAAAATATTTTTACTTATAGAAAAATCTTGCTACCAAGGTTGGACATTTCAACTCGACAGCTGCTATAAGTCGTTTAGAGAGCCGCGTTCTTGGTGGGATGCACGTGATTACTGTCGTCTGTTTCCTGAAGGAGATCTCGCCTGCTTCATCACTGCAACCGATCAACACTTTGTTCAAACTGACGTCATTCCAGACCGATCAAAATCTTACTGGATTGGACTTCAAGGGAATGTAAATTATAATTTTATCACTCTTCTGTTTAAAAGACCAGAAGAGCTAATGTTTTCTGATTTTAATAATGTGTAGCTATTGCACAAAAAGACTACATAGATTTTCAATTTTTTTTCAATTAAAAGACGGTTGCAAATTTATCGATTTTTAATATAATTGTTTCAATCATTGTTGAACCTCGAAATATAGACAACAGTTACACAAAATTAATAGGAAGTTTCACCTATATTACATTGTAATTACATTCACTAAAAAAAAATCACAAACTACTAGTATTTCAATCTCCACCCCCTTCCAAAATGAAATTCTAAGACTTTTTAAAACATTTGAAACTGTAGCAATCATCTTGGAAATGGGTATCTGGATCCGATATCAGCGCTTTTTCCAGCTTTAGAGGCGGATCCTCAAATCTAATAGGTAAAACTAACTAGATATCTACGACTATCTCTAAAGTAAAATTAGAAAGAATAATATATTAAAATGAAATTTTGACATTTTAAAAAGAAGATTTTATCGTGTTATATTATATGAATGTTTTAAATGATTAAAATTCAAAACATGTTGTTTCTCTATATAAACAGCTTCAAAAAATTGAATTTGGTCATCAGTTGGGAATTGTTACCTGAATTTTGGGGGAAAAAGGAGCCAATTTTCAAATGGGACACTGTCCTTTTCCAGGACCTGGGTGCTGTTTTCCATTTAATTCATGTGTCCGTTTTTAAGCTTTCTGATATATTTATGCAAAACAATGGATGCGTTTTGCCTTGTTTCCTGCTTTTTTCATCATCCTAAGCTCTACATCTCAAAATGTTATAGTATTTGACATATTGTGTGTTAAACTACTGTCTTCCCACAAATTTTTATTAAAATATAAAAATTGATGTTATAACACCAAATTATATATTTAAAAAAAAAGATTAGTGGGAAGCCATAGTCAATGTATGTGTATAAAACTATCAATAGGTAAAGTCAAAATGTGTGTAAAATCTCTAAGTTAAGTGTCAATATGTACATGACCCTAGGGCACTAATTAGCACCTGTTAATCACTTCTTACACTTCTTACACAAGCTGTAGGTATGGCAAACAAAGGATTAGAAGCCATTGAACTAGATATTTTAAGTGTCAATTCATAAACAACTTAATTGAAATTATGAATTTTATCTAATATATTTATAAACAAGGAGATAAATAAGATTAAAAAGTTTTGAAGAGAGGAAACAGCAATTCACTAAATAAAGAAAATATATAATTTTTTTAAAATATATTATAGAACATTTTGTCCTAAAAATCAGTTAACCTTTCTTGAATAAAGTGTTTGGGATTTGAAAAAAAGGGGAGGGGGGCTATTTCCCATTTATCAAACACCAGTGTAATTGAATGTAATTGAAAAGTAATTGTGAATTACATGCTTTTCTCAAAAGTAATTAATTAAATTACAATTACATGTAATTGAAAATTGGGCCAATTACACATTACTTTCAATTACATCGAAATTTGTAATTAATTACTGTCAATTACCATTACAAATTACCATTACCCCATCCCTGGTTATATAATTGTTTTCATTGGTTGAAATTCGATTTCTTTCATTTGAGCTTTAACATTCAGTAAACGATGTTGAATGAAGAATAAACACTCTTTATCAGGAAATTCCAATGACAGTTTGTGTGTGATTTTAAGGAACAGCTGGTGGTCTGTAGCTTCATGCAATGAGAGCAATCGTTATATTTGTCAGGCAAAGAGCATAGGTGGGGATGAAATTATTATTTTTCGTAATTAACTAAGACATCAATTAATATGTCTGTTGCTGTTGAATGTTATTTGGCTGAGTTTTGTTTATTACAAATGTACCTTTATTATAAAATGTTAATTTAAAAAATGTTGAATGTATACGCGATTTTATTCTATTGTAAAACAATGTACATGTATAATTGTAGTGGAAATGAAGCTGTTTAAGGTGTTCTTAGAAATTATTTCACTTGTAGATTGTCACATAGAGTCGGGATGGACCACTACTATTTCAAAACATTGCATTAAAGTGATGACAGCGCCCTCTGGTTGGTATGATGGACAAAACACATGCAGACGACAAGGCGCGGATCTTGCTCTTTTTCGCAGTAGAAATGAACTAGATTTCCTCACACAAAACTTAAGGTACTGTAAATCATTTTATTTGACTATTGAAGTTTTGCATATTTTTCGTACAATAAGTATTCAAAAGTAAGTGATTGGTCAGTTTTGTTAGTCTGCATTCACTTAAAAGATAAGTAGATTTCAATACAGGTCACTGATATTAATTCAAGTCCTTCCAATATAGGAAAGAGTCATTACATTTACTAAAATTTATTAAGGCAAACATTCATTAAAAAGTATGAAACAAAAAGCAATTTCTTTCCCCGATATCGTCGACTGGGTAGCATTTCAGAGAATTTAAGAATCATCATTACATGTAAATATACTTCCTATCAGAAATTAAAACAGATAGGGTTTTATGTTCAAGCTTGCCATATAATCAGTATTGGGTGGACCTTGGTTCTTTCGGGTAAGTATACAGACGTTTCTCAACTTGCTTTACATAGACATTATGAAGAGTTTCAATTAAATCTATTTGATATTGATATATTTCTCGAAATAACGTAAAACATATGATGGTAATTAAGAATAGCTTTGTGCAAATTCTATTTGACCTATTTAAAAGTTTATAAAACATGAAAAATATGAACGTTTAAAGTACATGTACATGTATATTGTACCATTTCAATAGAATTGCTTGATTTCTTTTTTCACTTCCAAGATCGAACTGTGAAGGAATTAACATTACATTGAATCGAGTGGATCCTTTCTACGAAAACTGCAATGTCCACCAAATGTTTATTTGTGAAATAAGTAAGAATATGTTTTAACAGTTTTAAAAATTGCTTTATTTTTTCTAAGAATTAAAAACAAAATGTCTCCAACATATAGCACAGATAGAGACTGATTTCAGAACATTTATTTTTAACTTACATCTACGGATCAGTAAACATCACGTTATGTAAAGTTTTAACTTATTTTTTTTTTTGGGGGGGGGGGTGTTCTTAGATATTCTGATGTTTTCTTAGTAGTGTATTTTTTATGACCGTACATTTTTACACATACTAGGTTCTTGTGCATCACGAGATGACGAGTATGGGTGTGATTCAATGTTCTGTATATCACGGAGTCTTTTGTGTGACGGACATCTGGATTGCCCGACCGGAAGTGACGAATCTGTATCATTATGTGGTACGATTTGTTTAAGAAATTTTAATTGCAGTTTAGGTTTAATTGTGTCAGTAATTTTAAAAGAAAACAAGCAAATTCAAAGAATTGTGGTTTCCCGCTTTCGGTGTGTTAGTGGATGGGGTGCCATTGTTTATGTCATATTGTAACTGTCTTGTTTGTGTGTCCTGTCTTGTCTATGCATTATACAAAAAAAAAACATAAATTATTGAATTAAAAATAGGTATGGCAAAGATTAAACTTAAATTCTCAAAACTACATCAAACTTCAAGATCAAGGTCATGAGGTCAAATATCATAATACAATCCGAAAGGTCTTGTCACAAGTAATGCAAATGTACTATATAGCAAAAAATTCGAGGAATCGCTAACTATGCATTTGAGGAAAGTTTGTTTTTCAGTAAACTTTCCCTGGAGGAAATTTGCTAAATATGCACAATTTTGAAAGAAATAAATTGCTATTAAACATATCAAGCTTTCACATTCATTTCTTATATTTCCCCATTTAGTTCCCCTTTTTTTGAGAATAACAGCCTTAATGTCAATAGGTTTTCTATAAAATAGATTTTCAAAGAACGTTTTTAAAATTGAGTACCATTACTGCTGAATTGTCTTTCATACGGCTCTCTTTAGCTGATGATATGTTTTTACTGAAGTCTTTTTCCACCATAAATTTCAACTAAATCAACTGCAGTAGTGTAGATTCAATCGACTGCATTAGTGTAGAAAATGCTTTTAGTTTAAGAAACTCTATTATGTTCATCGGGAGATACCATAAGATGTTAGTATTTCCCAGAAAAAGGATTTAAATGTCTTATTTTGGTCATGCCATAAGTCATAAAGCACAAGAGAAGAATTTTTTAGACAAAATGTAGTGTTGGCACTTCCGATGTTCCGGAACAGTCGCGATTCAAACAAAAATAAAAAGCTTGGGGTCTGATCAGACCTGTTTCAAAACATGCATTTCTTTAGTAGCAATATATTTCCAAAATGTGAATTTTATTAAGTTAAAAAAAGCATATGAGATTAACAGTTTTTTTGAGCTGTACAGCTGTATTTGACGAGAATTATAAGACCTGAACATCATATACATATTATATTTGAATATATATTATATTTTTATGTGAATAGTTGTACGTAGAGGGAGCATTTTTTATGAAGAAAGAGGAATAGGGAAACGCTTTTCTTTCCTTGTCAATGTTTGAATCATTCGTTTGTTTTTATTTTAAATTTTGTTTTGTTTTTTTTTTTTGCCCTCGTAATCGAAGATTCGGGGGTATATAGTTTTTGCCCTGTCCGTCCGTCTGCCTGTTTGTCCATTTGTCCGCAAAAACATTAACCTTGCCCATAACTTTTGATTGGCTGGAGCTATGGCTTTCATATTTCACATGTGTACTTCTTGTGACAAGACCTTTTTTGGGTACCAACATATTTGACCTCTTGACCTTGGACTTTAACCCACTTTTGCAAAAATTTACCCGACTTTAACCTTGGCCATAACTTTCAAAGCTTGTGAAATATGAAAGCCTTTCGATGATATGGCTTTCATATTTCACAAGTATATTGATCGTGACAAGGTCTTTCCAGGAGTGTAAATATTTTTTACCTTTTGACCTTGACCTTAGAGTTTGACCCACTTTTAAAAAACTTTAACCTTGGCCATAACTTTTGAACAGTTAGTACTAGGGCTTTCAAATTTCACAGGTATATTTCTTGTGACAAGACCTTCCTTTGGATACCAACAGTTTTGACCTTTTGAACTTGACCTTGGAGTTAGACCAACATTTGAAAAACTTTAACCTTCGCCATGAATTTTGAACAGTTGATGCTAGGAATTTTATATTTTTCATGTGTATTTCTTATGACAAGGTCTTCCCCTGCATACCATTAATTTTGACCCTTTGCCCTTGACATTTGAGTTTGACCCACTTTTAGAAAACATTGACATTGACCATAACTTTTGAATGGTTGGAGCTTTGGCCTTCATATATACCAGGTATATCCATTGACACAAGTCTTTTCTTCGGGTAACAACATTTTTGATCACTTGACGTTGAATTTTGACTTGCAGTTGGGAAACCATAACCTTCGCCATAGTTTGCCATAATGGGGCGTCAGTGGTTCTCAAACACATATTTTATCATAGTATCAAAGTTTTTACTTTAGTAAATTAAAGTTTTTAATATAGTTAATCAAAGTATTTTTACTATGGATTTCAGGTTGTCATATTTTATGTTCTAAAATTCATACATGCACATTTTTTTTTTATTTAATGGAACTATTTCTTGTATATTTCTATATATTATAGAGTAAGATTTCGTAGTAAATCAGTCTCAAAGACACTTACTATGGTCAACTATAAGTTAACAAAAGCAAAATTTTGTTAAGTGAAATCCATTGTTGGTGTGGATCCATCTGCACTGAACTCTGCACATACTGTCATTTTATGTCTTCTAAGGTAAAGCAACGACAACTGAGGTTTCAGTTGAGACAGTAACAGCACAGTCTAATTTTAGCAGCTCAGCCAATCACCGTATGTATACAAGAGGTATATTATTTAAAATTTAAAATTATTAAATTTGACACACATAAGGAAAATACTTTTATTTTCATTTGCTCTTCATTATTCTTTTGATTGATATGTAATACGGAAACAATCTTTTTACCCCAAAATATCTCAAAGTAGAGATTTTCAAGTTTTAAATTCAACTATGGAAGTGTTAATTAATCGGGTTCTATAAAAAGCCCGATTTATTAACACATAAATGAGACCTTAAATGCCAGATGGTACAAGATGCATATACCTTGTTAATATGTTTATATGCAGTTATTTTGGTCAAGGGGGAACACTTAAAATTGTTACAGTTAATTCGTTTTGCAGGTGTTCAATTCTCCGTGTCCTTGCAAAACACATCAAGTTCTTCCCTGTCAATTTCTGTCAACATGGACTTTGGTAAGCTAAGATCTTGCCAGTTATTCACTGACAACATGGATTTTGGTAAGCTAAGATCTTGCCGGTTATTCACTGACAACATGGACTTTGGTAAGCTAAGATCTTCCCGGTTATTCACTGACAACATTGACTTTGGTAAGCTAAGATCTTCCCGGTTATTCACTGACAACATTGACTTAGGTAAGCTAAGTTCTTCCCTGTCACTTACTGTCAACACAGACGTTGGTAAACTAAGAAGTCTTTTAGTTTATATCTGTACCTTTATCCTTCTTCTATGTTAACAATAAGAAAAGTATGAATAGGGATATAAGAAAGAGTACCATCTAGTTAAGCAATTTTAATATACCCCAAAAGTGTTCGTTTTATTGGGTCGATTTTTTCCCGTGTTTTCCTTTTGTCGCGTTGCAAGTAATATATGAAGCGAAATCTTTGTAGCCTCTTACAAACACTCGATCTGAACGGAGACCATATGCATGAAGCTGATTCCCAATATTTGGTAAAATATAAAAAAATGAATATTTTTCGAATTAATGTTTCATAGCTTGTTTAGTGCAGATAAACTCTAATGTTCTTTGTCATACAAAGCAATTTATGCACTGATGCTAATGAAAGGTTATGCATTGCTAATTTTTAATACTAGAAACATACATGTTCGATTTAGAAAAAAAATGAAATACGTACATTGTATTACTAGATTATTAATAAGAAAAGAACTTTTATTTTTCAGGACCTTTGCCTATAGATGAAATCAGAAAAGCTTTTCTAAAGGTAGTTTTTTTGAATGCATCAATTTTGTACAGTATTTCCTGCTTATCTTTTACAACATTAATCATCTCATAATCTATTAATCCAGTACAACATCAGTCAAATCTCATAGCAATCGTTTTGATCATATATGCTTAACATACAATGATTTTAAATCCAGTTACATGCATGCCAAAAGAAATGATTTAGGACTTCTTGAGCAATAAATTAACTTTTTCTCTTAATATTTCAAGCTTTAACGAGGAAACATTCATACAAGATAAACCCCCGAATTATAATTTTTTGACCAAATGAAATGGAACGATTTACCATTCTGCAGCATTGTCATTGTTGTTCGTGTATACATTGGAAAACGGCAGAATTCGGTAAAATAGATTGAACTCAGAGGCCCTTCTCGTTTATAAGCTACAATTAACAATACATCTATTTTTATTGAAAAAAGCGTTTTAAAAAGTACCCAATTGCTTCTTATTGTAGACTGGTTCATTTTCATTGGTTCATTTCTTTGAGATACTTATATTGTTTCAAATTTGAAATGATTTTTTTCCTAAAGTAATTATTCTATTCAATATGACTATCTCTTAAATCATATGTCGTAATATACTGATCAATAACATAATTTACCACCGCATAACTCTTTTTCTAAAATACACAATATCATTTTAATATAATTCTTTGCCATAAAAATAATATACTTTACTAACTAATACTTTACTAATATAAAAGATAAGCATGGGATAAATGAAGAGGGTAACGAACAGTGATCGATCTCAAGAACAACCCACAAACAATACAAACCTGTGAACAGGGCATAACACACGGACTCCCGGAAATTCCAGAAGTGGTACCAGGTGCCTAGGTGACTGTTATACCGACGAAAAGTAGGATTTAAGAATAAAAGTGCAATGCATGATATCTTAAATGTTTTTCATTTGCTTTCATGCACTTTACATAAATTTCAAATACATGTAGATGTTTTTTTAAGAACGAACAATTTATACATTATTGTAAATGCCATTTGATGTTTTGCTTTTAATCTGAGTCAAGGTTGGCAATTGGCAATTTTATGCAAATAAAGGTCTTTAAAAAATGGCAAGTTGGCATAAAGTACTTCTAAAAGTTTGCTCTAGATTGAGACTGTACGTAACTTTAAAAGGAAATTTAGTAAGATCAACAAAACAACTTCGACACAAGAGCTTATTCTACTTTTTTCGAGGCAATTATATTGGATGAAATATATAAAAAGATTTCAAGACTATGGCGTTGACGCACGAAATAGGCAATACATAAGATTTGTTAAACTTGTAATGTACGACAAAAATTGATATTAAAATGCATTTTATATGAATTTCAATACAAATAAAACATTTGTAGAGCGCTACATGTATATGTTATAAATTACCCTAAAACGGTTGGGAATAAAGGTATACTTATATAAATTTACAGATGGTAAATAAAACTTTTAAAAAATGCTTAAAATGAAAGACCTACAAAGTAATTTCAACGGGATCAAAAAAAAAAAAAAAAAAAAAAAAAATTACGTTATATAAAAATGGTCCAGCATTTTAAAGAAAATTACAAACGATCGAGTAAGCTTTATAAACTGTTAGAAAAACAGTATTTGAGACAATTTAAAGAAATCATAGGAGTTAAAACGCAATCTTGAAAAATGCGTTTTAGCAGTCTTTTAAAAACAAGAGCATTTTGAGCAACTTACAATAGTGTCGGAAGTTCAATACCACAATCTTGCTACAACCCAAGTAAAAGTGCGATCTTTAAAAATCTTAGTGTGGACCTCTGACACAACATGACAAAGTGATGTTTCCGATCTTAGTGATCGGGCTGGCTTTAAAGATATACAGGGGCACTCCCAACAGGGCGCAGTAAGTAAGCTCCAATATCTCAGATTGTGGTCAATACTGCAATGGAAGCTGATGTAGCTCCGCCAGGACCAGAGAAATATGATTCCGCATCCATATCATCAAGACTAGACTGGCTGCAGTATACTGCACCTTCCATTAGCGGTCCAGGGTGGTCCTGTTGATTTCAAACAGAAGAGATGAAAAAGTTGGAGACAACGAATAGTGATCGATCTCCAAAAATCTATAAACTATACAATTCTGTGAAAAGGGCATAAAACACTGACCCCTGGGAATTCCAGAGATGGGATCAGGTGCATAGGAGGAGTAAGTATCCCTTGTTGACCGGGCACACCCGCCATGAGACCTTTATATTGATCAAGTAGACGGAACATCCCGAAGTTAATTTCAGTATAAAAACAAAGGTCTAACAATTGGTATGAAACAAGTCAGCCAAAATACGACCTAATGATAAGTTGTATTTGCTAATAAGGTCATCATAACGACCAGTTACGAAGTTACGAAATGCTGACTTTAAAAGAGGATATTGAAATCCTTGTAACATCAACTTATCTGTCAGTAGCCTGTCTCAGTTTAAAAATTGGTCGTACTCTTAGCATGCTCTTGAGTATCGAATAAGCTGGGAGTTGTAAACACCATATGCAGGTGATAGCGGGATATTACTACATAAATAAGGAAAGTTGACGATGAAAAAGTCGAAGCCATCTCGTTTCTCATACACTTATCGTCTAAAGTCAGTAAAGCATTGAAATAGAAACAAATGTGGCAGACTCTATGGTGTCTTTTATTTCAAGTTCATTCTGATATATTGAATCGACATATGAATGAAAGTAACTTGTTAATTGATAATACTCGTCCATTGCCGATATATCTGAATGTCGAGTTGATGGCCACATCAAGTATTTACTTCTTCTCATGTTGAAGTTTTTGAATAAATTCTGCTTCAAAAGAATATAAAAACAGATCAGGTAATAAAGGGGCAAAATTAGTGCCCATCGAAATCCCAACAGTGTGCTGGAAGACCTGGTCTCCGAAGATTACATAAATGTTGTCAATGAACTCCAGCATCCTTTTAATATCAACTTCAGAATACTTTTGTGTAAAATCAGAATGATTTTTAACAAAGTAATATTCTGTTGATGACCAATCACAAGATAGGATAATTTCCGAGTTAAAATAAGAGAACCTTGATGTGACGAGTTCGTTGATGACAGTTTAGCATGCTTCAGTCGTTATGAGATGGTGAATTCGTCCAATATTACTCATATGGAAGTAACATGTCTTCACAATAGATGACACATGACTCTCAAATGTGAGATTGGAATCGAAATGAACACCAAGGTTCTTGACAAGCGATGCAACGGATAAGTTGTTTTCTCCATTTTTAATGTGGTGAGGTGGGATCTTTTCTACGTTGTGTTTGGAAGAGAAGATTTGAGAAAGTTAATTGACACAGACTGGCGTCGATTTTCTAATTAAACATGAAACCACTGTTATTCCATTTTTAGCTTATTAAGCCTATCCAATAGAATACGATGGGCAATTTCGTCAAATGCAGCTGATGACAGAACGAGGAGCACAAGGACGACAGATGACCCGTTATCTAATGCATGCCTGCGTTATGTCCTGATGGACTTTAAGGATAGTAGTTTCTGTAGAATGCTGTTTCCTGTATGCTGACTGCATTGCGTCAAAAAGACAATTTAAGATGCTTGTAACTACCTTTTGAAGTATTGTAGAGATGAAAGGTAGTTTACTGAGAGGTCTGCAGTTTGAAAGGATTTCATTATTTAATCCTATTTTTAAGCAATGGTATGATGACTGCCTCCCTGAAGCTAGGGGGAACTGCATTTTCTGAAAAGGATGCGTTATTATAGATGTTATGACAGGTAGAAGTGACTCCAAGTATTGATTTGTCAGACAAATGGGGAGCGGATCCAACTCGCAAGACTTGGTTGCTGACTTTTTGATGATTAACTCAACATTGTCTAAAGTTGTCAGATCAAAGGGAGTCAAGTGTTCTCCAGTGAATTTCAAATCTACTCTAACGGTACATTTATCTGACTCATGAGCTTTTTTTAACTCACCTGAGCTGAAAGCTCAAGTGAGCTTTTCTGATCACCCGTTGTCCGTCGTTCGTCCGTCTGTAAACTTTTCACATTTTCAACTTCTTCTCAAGAACCACTTGGCCAGAAAAGCTGAAACTTATGTGGGAGCATTCTGGGGTAGTGTAGATTCTAAATTGTTCAAATCATGACCCCCGGCGTAGGGCGGGCCGCAATAGAAAATCCAAGTTTTACATTGAAATATATAGAAAAAATCTTTAAAAATCTTCTTCTCAAGAGCCACTGGGCCAGAGAGGTTTAAACGTAAGTGGCAGCATCCTGAGTTGTGTAGATTCTAAATTGTTCGAATCATGACACCTAGGAGTAGGGCTGGGCCACAATAGGGAATCCAATTTTCACATTGAAATATGTAGTAAAAATCTTTAAAAATCTTTTCAAGAACCATTGGGCCAGAAAAGCTGAAACTTATGTGGAAGCATCCTGGGGTAGTGTAGATTCTAATTTTTCAAATTATGACCCATGGGGGTAGAGCGGGGCCACAATATGTACTACAAAGGGGGGGGGGGAATCAGGTGAAAAATAGCAAGGCCAAAGTTACTCAGGTGAACGTTGTGGCCCATGGGCCTCTTGTTCCTTTTCCTTATCTTGGTTTTAATAGCTTCAAGAGTTTTGCAAAGTATGAGTATTACTCTTTCTCACAATTAATTCTCTTTTCATCTTCATATAAAACTTTTTATGTAGTTATGTTTTCAAACAACTTCTGTTATGCGTGTTAACTGGTTTTTATTACGAAACTTTAGTTTCTTTAGGAAATGTTTTAAATAAAACCAGAATTACTTAGACTTTTTCGTCATTCTACGATATTTCTTTTGAATCATTGATTTTATCCTGACATATTTCAACATTAAATGTGTACTCCAGCATTATCCCTCTTTATCTATACTAGGTGGCTAGTCAAGCTTTGATATGACTGACACGACTTCGAGATTTTCAAAATACTTTTTTTTTTTTTTTTTTTTTTTTTTTAGAAATGTTAAATTCTTAAATGCTCGGAGAC